TTTGGATTCACGACGGTCGAGAATCTGTATTGGCTCACCGTAAGCTGTATGCATTGTCAACAAAGCGATCTGCATTAAATGAAGTGATGCACATTAGCAATCGTTCATGAGTAGTGATAGTGGAGTTTAGCACGTGTTTGCAGTGCTTTTTTAAGCGTTTTTTGTGCGCACTCAAGGTATGCATGCATCCTTGCAGCTATTAAATGGCAGTGATAGATAATGTTCATGTGCAGCAAGAACAGCCCAAACGCAATGCTGACTGAACGACGCATTTGCTCGTGTCCTCTAGATTGACGACAGTCGACATTTTTTATCAGTTCATAGTAAGCTGTACACATTGCCAAAAAAGCAATCTTTAATAAATGAAATGAAGTTCATTAGTACTAGATCTTAAGTCTGTTATAGTGACCTCGCAGCTATCAAAAGTGCAGTGATAGATGGTGTTGATGTGGAGCAAAAACAGGCCAGTTAAAATGTTTACTGCCTTGCTGCATTCGATCGTGTCCTTTAGATCCACGACGGTCGAGAATCTGTATTGGCTCACCGTAAGCTGTATGCATTGCCAACAAAACGATCTATATCAAATGGAATGATGCAGATTAGCAATCGTTCATGAGTCGTTTATAATTACCACATTTGCTATGACAAGTCGAAGTTTATGACCTTGGATGAACAGAATTGTGTTGATCTCTCGGTAGCCGATGATCATCTCTTAAAAAAAATATCATCTAGTGCTGGGCCCAAGGTCAATCTGATAGCTTGATTCAACCATGTTGACAGATCGCTGTGAAGTCCTAAGCCGATAAAGACCATCGATCAGGTCAGCTATCGCCACCACCTTCTTTGAGTCCATAACTGCGATGTTCATGCTAGCTCCATCAAACATTACTTGAAAGCAACCGTTTTTTTATCTGCGGAATGGACAGTAGGTTCTTGCTCATTTTCGGAACGTAAAGCGTGTCCTTGATCTCGATATCACGTATGTCGCCGTTGGGTAAACCGCTTGCTCGATTACAGTGCCCACAACTATGATAGCAGTCTATTTTTTGCTATTGGAATGATCAGAGACGCTCTTTTTACATCTACGTCGACGTTGCCAAGAATTTGTCGTGGGTGTCAAGAGGGTAAGATGGCTCAAAATTAATTCCAAAGCAACCCTGAAAAAGCGTCAGTATGCCGCATGTGAGCTACTACACTTCAAAATTTGCGGTCCAATGAAACAAGAATCGCTTGGTTGAAGAAGATACTTACTGCTGATTGTTCATGAGGTCAGCAGATGCATGAAGGGAAAGTGTTTACAAGCTAAGTCGGACAGCGAGATGCGATCAAGACATTCATACTCAAGGCCAGACGCAATTTGCAAAAAAAATCAAGTTTGTTCGACGTGACGGGGCACGCGAGTTTGCAACTAACACGCTTCAGATGTTTTACGAAGACGAAGGCATCGAGCAGCAATTCACAGTTCCATATGCACATCAAGGTAATGAAGCAGCTAAGCGCGCCATACGAACAATTTTAACTATTGGACGCAGTATGTTCATCACACCAAGCTAGATAAATGCTTTTAGGCGAAGCTGCCATGACGGCAACATACATCAAGAATCGTCTACCATCCCCAAAAAAGAAAAATAAGACTCCATTGAAATTGTGCATACGTCTAAGCCAAGCGTCAAGCATTTGAGCATTTTTGGGTGTCGGGTTTACGTTTTGACACCAAAGTAAAAGCGGCTTAAATGGGACCCCAAGTCTCGAGAAGGTGTGGTTGTGGGATATGAAGAATTGTCAAAAGCGTATTGAGCAATTGACACTCAAGCCCAGCAAGTGATGATAAGTCGGGATGTTACGTTTGACGAGTCATGTCTTTGCGATTTAGAATTAGACATTGTTGATGATGTTGATGCAGCAAACCTGGATTTTGGCTTTATAGAGATTGAAGATGATTTTTGGTACACAACAAATTTCAAGCAAACAGGTAAGCGCAAGCTGCGAGCGCAAGAACGCAATGGAACAAGTGAAGGGCTAGTCCAAATACTGTCTAACAGGCCTAGAAGAAGCAAGTGCCCCTGATGAAATGAACCAACGTCGAGTCAAACAACAATGTCGTGTTCAAAATGTGTCAAGATCCGGTCAAGAAGTGCATGATTCCGAGGATGATAAGATTGATGTAACCCCTTCGGCTTCATGGCGTGCAAGTGTGAACACAGTTGAGACTAATGACTTATTAGAGCCAACATTCTATCAAGATGCTTTAAATGGTCCTGATCGGTTTCATTGGCGCAAAGCATATCACGCGGAACTGAATATAATGCAGCTTCGTCGAGTATTTCGAGCCTTACCGTCAGGACAACATGCTATCGGCACAAAATGGTATTCAAGATCAAGCGTAACGCTGATGTCTCGGTTAGGAAATATAAGGCACGGCTTGTTGCAAAATGCTTCAGACAAAAACATGGAATTGATTACTTGGAAAAAAATTTCGCCTGTGGACAAGTTCGTGACTTGCAAATGGTGATTGCTTTGACAAAGTACATTGGGTGGTCACTTGATCAAATAGATGTTTAAACGGATTTTTTTATGGAGTAGTGAAGGAAGTTGTTTACTGCGAGGTTCCAGAAGGGGTCGAGCTTGACAGTAAATATGATTGTTTCTCTTGAGCTTGTCAAGCAAAGTATGGACTTAAATAAGCTTCTCGCGTGCGGAATGAAACATTTGACAACTTTTTTTGCACAATTGGATTTCATGTTTCAGATTTTGATCCAAAAATATACATCAAAGTTGTTGAAAGTCACTGCGTGCTTCTTCTGGTTTATGTCGACGATATTTTGGTTACTGGAAGCTCAACGGAGCTAATTGCGCAAACGAAGACTAGCTTAAGGAATCGCTTCGAAACATCTGACAGTGGCAATTGTGTGTTTGATCTGGGCATCGAGTTGATAGACAATGACGACAGCAGCGTAACAATGTGTCAGCGGCGATACATCGACGACATTCTCAAGCGATTTGGCATTGATGATTACAAGCCGGTGATAAGTCCAACAGGCATCAGCTCTAGGATCATGCCAAGTGACGCTTCTACTAGAGTAAACGCGCCGTTTCGAGAAGCGGTGGGAGCTCTCATGCACCTGATGACGGCAACACGGCCGGACATTGCATTTGCTGTCGTTATGTGTCAAGATTCATGGAGAATCCTCAGGCTGATCACTGGGCGGCAGTTAAGCGCATTTTTTGCTAATTGCAAGGCACAAAGTCTCATGGAATTTGTTTTCATCCAGGTGAGAAAGTCGACTTTCAGGGACACTCGGATGCAGACTGGGTAGGCGCCCATACGGATCGCAAGTCAATTTCTGGCTATGCTTTCGTGTTGATAGGAGGACCAGTCAATTGGGGAAGTAAAAAGCAGTCAAGCGTGTCATTGTCAACTAGCGAAACGGAGAACATAGCGTTAACGTTGGCGGTTCAAGAAGGCAAGTGGGGAGCATGATTAACTGTGAAGTTTTACATGCGGCTAGTGAGTGCGACCCAAGCGTCAAGATTTCGAAGACGATCAATCTTGCCTCAATATGACCAATAATCCTGGCAATCATGGTCGAGCGAAGAATATCAAGATCAAGTATCATCGTCTTCGTGATGAAGTCAAGCGCAGAGAAATACATTTTGAATAATGCGAGACGGCAAACAAGTTGGCGGACATTATGACGAAGGGTTATTCAGGAACTCGTCATAAGGATATGACAGCGGCCTTTAGTATCCAAGCAAGTTCGAATTGATGGGACGTATTGAAGGTTATGTGTTCAGATAAGGTACACAACCCAACCCGGTATAATCCGAACCGCGGTTTAGCGTATTTTGTACCATTAAATGTAATTACGGTATGTAAGACCAAATAAATAAATCACTTCCATATTTTACTTCTTCTCCCTCAAGTGTCTTCGCACACAGCAAAGACTCTTCAGCTCTCTACTTCAGCACCGGCTTACGGACTAAACAATATACTTTGTGCGCTTGTGAAACTCGGGGTTCTTCTCGAGCGCAATGGAGCCTTGTTTATCTTCAAGAATCTTGACTGCATCGCTTGTTTCAGTTTGAGTTTGCAAAGAAACGTCTTGAGCCAATTCGCTTTTTGCGTTGCTTTTGAATCGTCATATATACGGCTCCAGTTGACGGCAAAGCCACTGTGCGCTGTTTCTTGCTCCGCCAGCTGATAACACCACCGCTCATCATGAATGCGTATCGACTTGTGCTTCCTCTTGATTGAAGTCGCCAGCCCAGTCCGCATCAGAATAGCCTTGAAGCCCGTGCTTACAGCTTGTTTGAAACTTAATACCAAAATCTTCATGCCTTTAATGTACCGGAAGACTCCCTTAAGAGCTTGTAAATGCGTTGGACATGGATCCGCTGCAGATTGACTCAATACTCCAACTGCCGCTGCCTGAACAGAACGTGCGCGTACCATGAGATACATAAGGTACCCACCGGCATTGCGATACGGCACGCCAGCCCTAGTCTCGTCATGTTTGCATCCACCTTCACACATGGACTGGTCAGCTAGTTGCCGGGATCTTGCGGCGTGCGGACCGGTTCGCAATGCGCCATCTTGAACTTTTCCAAAATTTCGTTTGCAAACTTGGTCTGCAACATCAAACTGTCCTCGCCACCGTGTATTGTTTAATTTCCATGCCAAGAAATTACTTGAGCTGGCCCATATTGGCCATCTTAAATTGCTCGCTAAGCGTTTGTTTTGTTTCTTGACGCATCTTGATACTGCTACTTGCGAGAAACAAGTCGTCAACATAAAGCACAATAAAATATCATTTCTCGAGCCGTACGCTTTGTATACACACAATGATTCGGTTCACACTTCTTAGTTTCCAGTTGTAACATAAAATAATCAATCGTCTTATTCCGCATACTTGGCGACTGCATGAGCCCGTACGACGACCTTTTTAACTTGCACACATGATCGGGATAACTTTTGTCAACATATTTAAAGGAGGTTCCGCTATAAAATTCTAACCATCGGGCTGCACCATGAGGATGTCATCTCCAAGAGATTAATTTAGAAAGGCGGATTTCACATCCATCTGATAAACCTTGAGGCCATACTTGGCACTGAGGCTAAGCAATAAACTAATTGAGGTAAACTTTGCATCTGGCGCAAACGTTTCCTCGTAATCAATGCCGTACTTTTGTGCAAATCCCTTCGCCACCAGACGAGCTTTGTAGCTTTGACCTATTCGTTTTTATTTTTTCTTAACTCGAAAGGCCCATCCGTTCCCAATCGCTTTGTGTCCTTCTGGAAGTGGCACTATATCCCACGTCTTGTTCTTGTTGAGTGCCTCCATTTCCGAGTCACAAGCCTTGGCCCATTCATCAGCGTCGCTGGATTCCATTGCCGACTTGAAGGTGGTCGGCACTTCTCCTACTGAATCCACAACGTAAGCAGCTTCAAAGCCTCGAAGGTGACAATTCGCTAAGTCCTTACTGCTCGTTGTACTGGTTTTAGTGCTTGACATTGGGAAGCTCCGCCGACTCCTCATGCGATTGCGTTCGCTGATGTCGTTTATTTCCAGATCGAATGAGACCTTTAAATCCATCGCTGTACGAAGCGCTTTGCACTAGGAGTCTCTGTGATGTCTTCAAGCGATGTCGTTTGGTGCCTAAACCATTCTTGTCTTTATCCATTTTAGTGTCATCGTCTTGGGTATCTTCAGCTGTATCTCTACTGTCTTCATATTTATCTTAATTACAACAACAATCACGACTTCTATTATCGAATACGTCTTGAGCAGCTTTGCATCACGGCTTATTACCACACGACCACTCTTCATGCTTTCGAATCGGTATGCTTTTCATGCTTGAAATACCCAATTTAAAGGCCAGAGCTCGGCTCGAGCATCAAGCTTACCGCGTCTTTCCTTTGGAACCGTCACAAACGCATGACAACCAAATACATTTAGGTTTGTCACAACGGGTTTTATTCAAGCACACGCTTCATAAGGGGGCTGTGCAAGTAAAATTCTACGCGTGGGACACCAAATGCGCTAGAAGTTGGTAGTCAGTCATCACTGCTTCCCCAATACGCCTTGGGTAGTTTTGCGTGTTCAATCATACAGCGCGCACATTCCACCAATGTCCTGTTCATACGCTCAGCCACTCCATTGAGCTGAGGCGTATCTGGCGGCGTAAAACTTTGCACAATACCACGGCGCTGACAAAATTTTGCCAATTGGCCAGACGAATACTCGCCACCATTATCACAACAAAGAGCTTTCACGACTTTCCCAATCTGAGTCTCTGCGTATGCGACAAAAGAAGCAAAATTTCTTGCAACTTCTGACTTCTTTCGCAGCAAGTACGCCATGGTAAAGTGCGAGTACTTGTCGATGTCGGTAACGAAATACCGCATGCAGCGGAACGAGCTGTCTGCATTGGGCAGCATACGTCACCGTGTACAACTTTCAACAACTTTGTAGCGCGATGAGTGGATTTTCGCAGAAAACTAGCACGTGTCTGTTTGTCAAGAGCGCAACCATGACATTGCTCCGATTGCTTCACTGATGTAAGTCCGATACTAATTCTTCTTGATGATGGTATCAAGACCTGAATAGACAATGTGCCCAAGTCGTAGGTGCCAGAGGTCCGACGTGGTGTCCCCATGGTATCTCGACGTGCTCGTCACATTGGCTTCTTGTACATGAATTGGCTACATACATAGCTTGAGCAGTCCTTTTCCTTTGTGGGCATCAAGCTTCCAGCTTAACCCCTTTGCCTCCGCAAAGCACTCATCGCGCTCGAAAATGACTGGACCAACATCCTTGGTAAAATGTCCAACGGAAAACAAGTGGCGAGAAAGCTTTGGGATATGCTATACATCTGTTAACAAACCCTTTTTCATTTTACGTGGTGTCATCATCGACATCACAATATCGCCCGTTCTAATCGCTTGCACCACGTCATCGTCCGCGAGACGAACGTTGACTGGTGCAACTTTCGTGTAATTCATCATGTACTCTATCGAATACGTCATGTGCTGTGTCGCACCAGAGTCAACCAGCCACACGCAACTTGACTTGACCGTACACGCAATGTCGCCAGCCGAGAAAAGATAATCGACAGAATCGTCATCATTTTGTGCAGTGTTTGAGTGCTGCGGCCGTTGTCGCTCGGCATTCTCGCGAATCCGAGTCGGGCACTTGGCAATCCAATGCCCATGTTCACCGCAGTAGTGACCGGTGCTGTTACCCTTCACTGTCACTTGTCGTACCTTGCGGCGTCCATCTTCCGTCGATACAAACGCTTGACCTTGGCTGTGCACGGTTCCATCGACACCGCTACCTTGCTCTTTGCGCTTTAAGTCTTCGTGTAGCAGCCGAGACGTCACGAACTCCCACGATAACGAGTCGGCTCTTGACTCCAATGCCGTGATGAGAACCGCGTACCACTCGTTGAGACTGGCGAGAAGCGTAATGATCAGGCCGTCCTTACTGACCGGAGCGCCTACTGCGTTGAGCTGCTTCGCCAGCGTTTCGATCTTATTGATGTGCTCCAGCACAGCTTCTTCTTCTTCCATCTTAGCCGAAAAGAAGCGACGACGAAGAAAGAGCTTGCTCGCTGAGCTCTTCTTCTCGAAGTGTCCTTCCAGCCGTGACCTAGCATCAAGCAGAAGGAACCAACGGTAGCTGAGAATCTTCCATCTCAAGGCAGATGATCTACATCGCCTTGCGAGACTTGTGCTTGTACGTGGATTGGTCCAACGACGTTACGCACTGCTTCAGCTTCATCTCTCCGCATCCGACCTCTAAAGGCCTCGCTCCTCAAGCACCATCTGCATCTTGAACTTCCAAGTGTAAAAGTTTGTACCATCAATTGTGTTGATACGGGCGGTGGGGGGGAGGCAAAGTCCATGACTAAGGCGTGGTCGGTGTCGGTGGCAGGGAAGACAGGGCTCAAGCTAATAACCTAAGAGAAAGAAAGGCACTTGTGCTGTAGATGGCAAAATGCAACTTAAATATATTTAAGGGCTTTGGTTTGCTGTGCTACCTCTTAGCCTATCCAGAATATTCTACCAAATAATCTAATGGATTTTTTTCTGAATTTATGTACCTGTTATGTGGTTGTGGATAGCCTCTTTGCTGGATACTTGGCTTAACGACAAAAGTGCAACTTGCGCAATCAGCCTATCCACACCGATGATACCGATAAATGATAAAGCGAATTTTCAAACGTGGACGCTCACCATACAAATGGAGCTATAGGTGCACAAGCTGTTGGAAATTCGTTACAGTCAAATCAAATTGGAACAGTCTATTGGTTCGAATAACCAAGAGCTGATGTTAGGGCAAGATCGTTTGTTTTCGCAAAATGCAAAGTGAATATATTAAAGTTTCTTGGTCTGCTGTGCTACCTCTAAGCCTATCTAGAATATTCTACCAAATAATCTACTGGATTGTTTACTTGATTCATGTTTCTTTTATGCGCTTGTGGATAGCCCATTTGCTGGTTACGTCACTGGATACCTGGCCAACCTATAAAACTGCAACTTGCGCAATCAGCCTGTCCACACCGGTAATACCGATATCTACCGGTTCGTGGCAGCTCGACGAAATGCTTCCTTGACACAACTATTTTGCACGACGAAGCGTATCTTTACAAAACTCCTACTCGACTCTTCATTTCTTGGTACTTGAATGCCGAGCTTACTTGACTTGAAGATACTGCCTTGGTCAGTATATCCCTCAACATGTCCGACGTCGAAATGTAATCGAGAGTAACCTAACCGTCTTCAACATTCTCAAGTACAAAATGGTAACGAATGTCGATATGCTTTGTGCGCTTGTGAAATTCGGGGTTCTTTGCAAGCGCAATGGAGACTTGATTGTCTTCAAAAATATTGACTGCATGGTTTGTTTTCAGTTCATTGAGTTTGCAAAGAACGTTTCGAGATAAATCGCTTCTTGCGTTGCTTCTGAAAGCGCAATGTACTCAGCTTCTGTTAATGATAAAGCAACCGTATGATGTTCGTTGCTTCTTCAACTTACTGTGTCGCCATTTTTAATGAAGGCATAGCCGCCTGTGAGTCTCTTGATTCCACATCACCTGCCCAATCAGCATCTGAGTAGCCTTGTAGTCCATGCGTGCAATTAGCTTGAAAATTCAATGCCAAAAATCTTCGTGCCTTGAATGTATCGAAGAACACGTTTCAAAGCTTGTCAAGGGGGTTGGTTGATAAGATTTTTTACTGCTGCCGCTACGTCTGGTCGTGTGCTAGCCATCAAGTACATGAGGCATCCAACGACATTTTGATATGGCACGTTGACCATAGTATCTTCATGCCTTCAGCCACCTTCACACATCGATTTTGTAAGATTGAGACCTGGGTCTTGAGGCGTGCGAACGGACTTGCAGTGCTCCATCTTGAACATATTCAAAACATCAATTGCAAACTTTGTCTGCTGCATTGAGACTATTCCTGCTGTAGTATTTCCATTCCGAGAAAGTATTGAAGCTTTGAGCATCTTGAGACTGCTGCTTGAGAGAATCAAATCGTCAGCGTAAAGTGCCGCGAAGATTTTATCTTGTTCTAAACGCTTCATGTAAGCGCAATGGTCTGATTCACACCTGTTGATCTCCGGAAGCTGCATGAAGTCGTCAATGGTCTTGTTTCAGACCATTGACGGTCTTGTTTCACATGCGTGGAGATTGCTTTAATCGATACAGCGACCGCTTCAACTTGTACACATAGTCGGGGTGACTTGCACTAATGTATCCGCTGGTTGTGCTATGAAGATATCTTCTTTAAGCTCTCCGTTGAAAAAGGCAGTCCAGTCATTCATCAGATGAATCATCAAGTTGTATTTTGTACTTAGGCTCAACAATATCCGAATCGACGTAATATTGGCCACTGGCGCGAATGGCTG